ATTTGTTGCATATTTGGTTCGTTTGGTTCTTCATTTGTTTATGCTAACCACGAAAACTTGAACCCGACGAAACACTTGCTAAAAATATATATTAATTAAATACTCTCACTAACTAAAAACTAATCAACAATAATATAAACACAATGAAAATTAAAACCACTCAAAACTCAAGCATATTAAGGTCTATAAGAACTCAAAGCACCTAAATTTCAACAGCTCTATATGTATTATTATTGTCATTTCCATGGCCAGAATTTTTGTACATACAATTTCTTATTCTTCATTAAGTTTCACCCCCTCACCCAGTCATGAAATCACTCTTAAGCTATGCATAATTACTGTTCTATCTAACTATTCATATCAAATGGCATATTTAATCACACAAAACCTAAACACAGCGCTCTCAGTAATAACAACAGCCACGCCCACACTAAAACTATCTCTTTTTCTCACATGTCTTCTTCTATTTCTCTCTGTTCTTTGTCTTTCCTTTCTATACTTTCTCGATGTGATTTTTCCACTTGAACCAACTGAAAACTAACAATCTTTACGTAACATTTGAAACAACTCCTTAAAACTAATCCGAATCAATTACCTGAAACAACCCGTTACAATGACACAGGTGACGCAAACTCCACGCATTTGCCCACATTTCTACAGACACTTGTTTTATCAATTATGGCACTAGTCTTGAATACGTACAACTAAAGCGTTAACTAAATCGAAATCGAAATCAAAATCAAACAACAATTAAATCAAATGAGAATAAAAATATAAATATACATTTTTAAATTGGATTGCCAAATGAAAGGAATTGTCACGATAATCAAAAGTGATGAATAACTATTACAATAAATATAACAAAGAAAAAAGAAAACAAAAAAAAAAAACAAGGCAAGAGTTTTGAATAATTTAGCAATGCATAAATTATACGCCAATTAAATGCTAATGTCTAAGAATAAGAAATACATAATACTTTTGGTCACATATAACACGTGAGTCCTGCATAAACTTGTCTCAATTCGCTGCACACGCCCACAGCCACAATCATGACATGCACACTATAACTGTAAAAGAGTCCCACAGAATCCTCAACTCTCAAAATGAAAACTTGCCACAAGCGACACGAATTAAATAAAGCATCGTTCTGATATTGCTATAAAAAAAAACACACATTCTCTATATAAAATATATCTTAACATAAATGTAAAGTCCCCTGTTTTAGTTTTTAGTCTTCGGTTGCATATTTGAGTTTTCTCTTGTTGTAGCATTCGGAAATCGGTTCAAAGGCATGCTGATTGGAACATTTTCTTTAGAATTCTGGCTTTTTATGTTCTGCACTTGACTGTTTTTCGTTTTCGCTATCCCCAACTAATGATAAGCTAAGCTGCATTCGCAACTGTTATCCCCAATAAAACCCCGCATAAAAACAATGTGATAAATCAAATACTTAATGCCAACACACGACGAGAGGAATTCAAGTCTTAACATTATCTACCAGTTAGCTAGAGACTCATTTACGCATTATATAAGTAACATTCTCATCTATACATCTATCATAATTATGATAATGATAATGTGTATAGTATTCTAATCGCTCTGTATTTTCACAATTGTTAAATTTACTTTGCACTTTGGTTTATTTACGTGCTAATTACCGTATCAGGTATCACGGAAGCGGCCGAGGAGGATCACGACGTCCTAATTATAATAACACTAGTCGTCGCCTCGTCCCTAATCTGTCTCCTATGCACACTCTGTCACTCCAGAAGAAAACGTAGAAATCACGTGCGTCAATTGGGTTTACATCGAAATGCACACTATGACTCTCAGACGAGCGCAACGGGTAAGCAGGAGGGGCTGGATTGCTGTCGAGTTTCTGTTTCGTTTTATGTTATATATTGTTTATGATTTTAGGTTTTCTTTGATTTATTTGAATTATATATTTTGTTGGAAGTAATTTGGGTAAATACTTTCTTAAGTAATCGGAAAGTAAAAGTGATTAACCTATTACACATTTGTCAGCTGGTCTTAGCTCCAGTCGCCGTCATTTGCAGAGTGGCGGGGCGAGCATTGCGGGCAGCCTACATGGCATAAATAGCGGCACGCTGATCATTCCACCGGCACCACTGCCACCCACCAGTGTGCCACCGCCACCGCATATATGTATAGCCGGCGTTGACATGTCGCACGGCTTGATGAACGACGAGGACGATGATGAGGACGACGACGATCTGGAACTGGATGAGGATCAACTGGCTGCCGACATATTTATTAACGATGTGCATTTCGACGAAGATAATATTGATCATGTAAACCAAATGGCTAACGTTTAACTATGTGTTTAAGTATTTTTATCGCTAGTTTCAGCTATAAAGCGCTTTAGGTTAAGTCGTGCCCCAGCTGAAGGACGCATTACAAATGAGTAAATGAGTACGATCAGCTGGAGCAAAAAGAACTTGAACAAAAATTCAAAAGTTAACAATACCTAAAAGACGAAAAATTATGCAAATGTGCGAATTGATTAAGACATATATTTAATAAGCTATAAAGGAGGCGCGAATAACGTAATGAGTACAGTACAGTAGAGCGTAAACATTGTAGTAGCGATAAACGATTAACGATAAATGATAAACGATTAACGATTTACGATGAACAAAGAAGACAGACAACAAATAATAATTACATTTAATTATACATACATACTATATTATACACATAGCGACTACGGATGACGAGGGAAATGCGACAATGCGAAAATAAAGAGAGAGTCGGCAAACCAGAAATGGAAAAGCCAAGCGGCGAGCATGTAAAGCATTTTCTTAGCCAAAAGAGACCGCAAAAAGTTGTTGATTTTTATATTTGATACGAGTAATATTTAGGTGAAGCATAATTGAATGAATTATACAACAAATCCAATAAAAATGAAGAAAAAAAAAGAAGTAAATAAATAAAATAAAAACCCAAAAGCCCACAAGGGAAATAATACACATTCACATGAATAAATATATTTGAAAGCAAGCAAAGTAAGCAAACAATTCTACTTATTAAAGGGCATAAAACAATAAACATAAATGCATATATTATATCTATACAGCCGCGTATAACTTTTATTTACGTCTTTTTTACACACCCGAGGAACCGACGAAACTCAAGTTAAACATGTTTATAAATTGAAGTTTTTAACAAGACATAGGATACATACGTGAAAGAGAAGAGTGCATAAATAAAAGAATTAGTGACTATCAAACCTGTATCTTCCAGCAAAAGTTAAACGCAAAATCCCTTAATTGAGAGTTTTGTATACATAAGTAATAACTAAAATAATAATGTATTAATACAAATAAATTTTAATGCGCTATTTGTCGTGCCACACACAAATTTCAACATTAATAAATTCCAAGATTTTTGTCTATTTAAGCACGTTTTTATAGACATTTAAAGGGAATGTTGCAGCGACATTAAAAATAAACAAAAATTTATAAAAATCTACACGCTAATGAGAACGATAATAAACACTTATACAGTACATAAAGAACAAAAAAACGAAAAGCTAAAATTAAATCACAAACAAGAAACAATAGAAAAAAAACTTGTGAAAATCGTTTAGTATTATTGATTAATATTATTAGTTGTTATTTTTAGTTTTGATAATTTCAATGATATATGTCTATATTGTATCTTTAAAACACAACTTTTAATTTTAAATAAAGAATTGTTTGCATTATTTCAGAATGAGATCTTTGATCAAAATGATAAAACATAGATGAATACTTGAGAAAATAATAAAAAAATTATTGGTTTCATAGCGCTCGTACGTTTTGCATAAAAAAGTTAAAATGCTTAAATAAATGAGAAAAATTTAAACAGTTCAATCTAAAAATCATTTTTAATAAAAGTATGTAGGTGTTTAATAAAAAAAAAACATTATAAATAAAACGAATACATTGAACAAAAAATAAAATAAAATAAAACGTTGTTAAAGTGTTTGCAAGATGCATAAAGATCAACTATTTTATAAGGAATAATTAATTATTTTTAAACAATTGCAAAATACAAAAATTAAAAGCAAAAAAAAAAAAACAAACAAAAATAACTGAAGATATTTAGTTTAAGTGTAAAAATTTTGTTGTTGTATGACATTAAAGTGAACCCCAATTAAATTAGTTAATTAAATAAATTGAATTTGTGTTCTAGCAATAAAAAATAAACATACATTTAAAACCTATTTACTAAACATAAAAATTAAATAAAAATGTTTGAGAAACAAACGGCAAAATCCCTGTCAAATGTTCTAAGCGTTTACTAAAAAAAACACAACGTTAAATTAAACAAGCAAGTGTTAAATTTACATTTAAATCTACAATTAAGCAAGGCAAGCAAATGAAAGATAAGTTATATTAAACAATATGTAAAGCCTAAACAAAAAAAAAAAACCAAAAGCCAGAAAACAAAAATCAAACAAACAAACAAACAAAAAGAAAAGAAATCCAAGCGTATGCATTGGCATAGAACGCTACGCTTTAGCAAAAGATAGTTGATTAAACGCAAAATTTTAAAATTGAACAAAAACACCTACAAAAACAATTCCATGTTAACATTAAATATAAATAAAGGTAATTAAATAAACGAATACTAAACCAAGAAAAAATCGGATTTTTTTGTAATATTGAAGACATATACTAACCCGTTCCCAATAACGGATAAATTAAGTAGAAATTATTAGAATTTATCATTTCTTTACATCGAGATCTTTCGGAGATCAACCATTAGATATATTTTGCAGTTAGCCAGCGGCGACGTCTACTCTGCATTGGTAAACTGACACCATACAGGTCAGCATCACCCTTTGTCATCCTCAGATTATCACCATATATAATCCCTTAGTTATCACCATATATAGTCACTTGTTAGTTGAAAATATACGCTATAGTGTATGTGTGTAAATAGCGTTTATTATATTTAAGTGCAAATTGCATATGCAAATTATAGTAGATATATTTTTTTACTGTTGCGAATTTAAACGAAACTTGTCCAACATTTTGTGAATAGCATCCGCATCGCCATCGACTTTAGCCTTGTGCTGTTCCAACATTTGTTCAAAACTCTTTTGCTTAGTGCCTACCAAATAAAAGTCCTCATCTGCTATTGTAACCCTGCCGTCGACATCAGCTGCGGTGCCCTCGTAAATGTCCAGAGCTTTGAAATCAAATACTACAGTAAGACGGTCAGCAGGAGGCGCCAGACTTAAGCAATGGCAATAACTCACCCATGCTCTTGATGAGTTTGCCGTCGGAGTCCGTGAAATTGAACTGGAATGTGTTGACCACAGTTCGTTTGTTGGGATCGGACTCCTTCAGCTTGTTGCGTATTTTCTCAATGATCTCGTCGCTTTTCATACTGATGATTCGTGGGTGTACGCAGCACAACTGGTTTACTTGAGTGCAGTTGCTTGACTAATTCAAACACTGCGACCAATTGAAACGAAGACAGCGGATTACCGCAGCAGTTCTCGTTGTGGCTTTGCATAATTCTTAATTAAAGTCAATTTGTTTGATAGAGACATGATTGACAATATTGATACAGGGCATGAGAAAATCTAAAGCAACGACTGGTCAAACGCAGTTAGTATTACAGTGCTGTTAAATAAAATACATATATTTGAATACGTAAATTCTATTGCTACTAAATAAAACTTAGTATGCGACCAGTTAGTCAACGCTTATTGAAACTAAGGCTTCCACAGCTTTAGCAGACCGTCTTCGCTATAGGTGGCGAGAAGATTTTGATGCGGGTGATGTGTCAGGCCAATGACGTCTTTTTCGTGTACCTAAGAACAAAAAACATACAGCTAACTGCAAAACAAAGCCGACCAAATATACTCACGTTCAGTGTACGCTCCAGCTTGCCCGAGGAAACCGAGAAACAATAGAGCACTTGATCTTCACCAGCACAGTAAATAAATTCGCCTCGGGGTGACAGGGTAGCTGAGATAAAGGCGCCGCCCTCGCGCTTACCCGATGAGAATGATCGAACGATTTGGCCCTGCATGTTCATAATGACGACTGTGTTGGACCTATTGCAAACGATAAAGTGTTCAGGATTTTTGGGCAAGATAAGCACAGTATTCACAGCCAGTTCATTGCCCAAGGGCTTGTACGTAGCTACGCACTCCGTAGTCTTCAGTGACCAGACTTTAACGGTGCCATCGGAAGAAGCGCTAAGCACACTGTGACCATCGGGTGTAAACGTGGTTTCATTAACAAATGATGTGTGACCCTTAAACTCCTTAAGCATTTTGCCAGACTTTAGGCCGTGCAGACGCACAGTGTAGTCAAAGGAAGCACTGAGCACTTGGCTGTTGTCGCGGGAGAACTGTAGACAGGTAATGCCTTTGGTGTGTGCTTTTTCGAATTTGCGCAGACACTGGCCGGTAATGATGCGCCAAACCTTTATTTGGCCGTCCTGAGCACCGGATGCAACCATTTCAGAGTCACGCGAGAAGGTTAACGCTAGCACAGCTTGCTCCATCATCATGAACTGGTCCTGGGCTTGGTATTTCAAATCCTTACGTACTTTGCCCGTTGTAAAATTCCAAACTTCTAAGAAGCCATCTACGCTTCCTGTTATCAAATACTGCCCATCTGGTGAGAACTGTGCACACTCTACGTGAGACTTTTCACCAAATTTGATTTGTCTAAACAGTTGGGTTGGATACATTTCCTCCTCTTGATCTCTCATGGCTGCCTTACCACGGAATAAATCAATGGTAGTGCCTGGTGGAAGAAGACCTTGATGCTGTTGCCATTTCAGCGCTTGGCCGAGCAATGCCAAGAGCCTGGACGAGGGCACAACGTGCACTTCGCCACTCAGCTCCTGGGCAATAGCCGCACGCCGCTTCTCTTTGCTGCTGCCCTCTGCATAAGCTTCGCGGGGATCGAAATATGCTCGTTGTAACATGTTTTCTGAGAGATAAAGAGAATACTGTGTATGCACAGAAGAAGTACAATGATGAAACTCACCTAGATGTATATACCGCTCAGGCTCGTGCTGCTTTAACATACTCATTGGGTCGGTTTGACGAAGTAGTGAGCGAGCAGCCCCCAATTCTCGCAGCTCTATCAATTCCAATACAATTTGCTCATAAAGATTTAGTAATTTTTTGTCAGGAAGCTTCAGGGATTGGGTTACTTTGAGCACAGTGTCCCAGTGGCCATTAGAGATATCTTGGACAAAGCCATCGACGCTGTCTACTGTATTAAGTGAAACTCCGGTTTCCTCCTGTAAAGTAGCAGAGTAATATGACGAGTTTAATAAATAAAATGAGCTCTTACCTGTAAGGTTTGAAGTGTTTTGAGCAGATTGGATTCTTTTAGGTATTGTTGAATTAGACGAATAACGCTGCAAAAAATGTGTTTCTTTATCTGATTTTGTAATGTGCTATTTATTATACTTACTCTGCTGATTCTATTTCAATAGACATGTTGCGATGGAAGCCTATGTAGATTTAAAAACTTTATCTCTTATTTTTGTTTTTAGTAAAAAACGCGTCTATTCGGCAAATGTGTACGGAATCGTGTGGAACATGTTCCTGTGAACCATTGGTCGCTCATTGATTTGTTTTGTTCACTCTGGCTCGCGTTTGTAACAGTTTGTTTACCTGTTATTAACAGCACTTGCGAAGCGTTTTTCGATACAAAACCGAAAATAGGGATATCAACTCTTAAAACTCTTAAAAAACTAAGATTTTTCTTGATAATCACTGCAATTATAATTATTAAATGATACTTTACCGATTTTTTGGTGCGCTATATTTATTATCGATATATCGGTAACTTAATCAATAACTCGTTCATATGCCGCTCACAGCTGTTTGGTGTTCTTCTTCTTCCTATTCCCATTGGATCTTTTTGCATAACAATCATATTCTGAAACTGCGGATACCATCAATTAAAATGTCTAAAGCAGCGGGGAAATTAAAATCAATAAAGAAAATAGTCGAGCGTGTAACGCATACGACAAAACTAAAGACAAATATACCCGCTGGCATGGCAGCTGCAGGCCCACCACTGGGTCCCATGCTAGGTCAGGTGAGTTCCTACTAAATATGTATGTGGGTACATCTAAATAATGAATTCATTTTGACAGCGAGCCATTAACATTGCCGCGTTTTGCAAGGACTTTAACACCAAAACTGCGGAAATGAAAGAGGGCGTACCACTGCCATGTCGGATATCAATGAACAGTGATCGCAGCTACGACTTGGTCATACATCATCCGCCAGCTACATTTTTCCTTAAGCAAGCGGCCGGTATTCAGCGAGGAACAATGACTCCAGGGCGAGAGGTTGCCGGAAAAATTACGCTAAAGCATTTGTACGAAATAGCGGCAATCAAGATACAAGATCCACCCAATGCATTGCTGACCATGAAAGTAAGTTGGATAATAATATAATATAACATGTGCTTACAAAACCTAATTTTGTTTAGCAAATGTGTGAGATGCTCATTAGCATTGCACGAACTTGTGGAATAAAAGTAGTTCGAGATTTGGATCCGACGGAATATGCTCAGTTCTTGGAGGAGCGCAAAGTTATTGTCGAGGCACAGCGACGTGAACTCCAAGAAAAACGCGAGGCGAAAATGTTGAGAACGGGCTAAATATATTGTATAATTTGTTAATATATATACATTTATAACTACAATAACTATATCTATTCAATGCTTATACGCTTCCGATCCTTTGCAGCATTCTTTTTGCGACGTTTCTCCAAATGTTTGTTTAGTTTTCCAGTTTCTTTCAACTGCTCAAACTGAGCGACCAACTCCTTGGCGCGTCTTTCCTCTGCAACGAAAATTGTTATTAGATCGAGCTATCGCTTTATTCTTTAAGACTTACGTTTTGTAACATAATGTGGCTGACGTCCCTCGTCGTGTGCCTTTTGTATCTCTTTACGCTCCTCTTTTAATATATTTTGCTTGATGTGCCAGCGTTTATCCTCCACATTCTTATTTATAAGTCTTTGAATGGTGTGCTTGATTTTCAGCTTTTCTTCGTCATCTTTTACTGTGTCCAGCCGTTTTTTCAGCTGCTCTACTTCTTTGTCGCGAATTTTAGTTACGAATTTGTAGTTTTGCTTAAAAGTATCGGTGTCATAGGTACCCGACCTCTCGTCAAAACGTGGATCCCGGATCTCAGTTTCTTTCTTTCGTTCCGCACGTAGCTCAGCACCTAAAAAGGGCACTTGACGCTTGGCACTTACTTCCCGCGGTCGATTTTTGTTCAGTCTTTTAAGTTCTGCTTTTGATTTCGACTGCTTACGCTTCACACTTTTATTACCAAGAACCGCCTCTTTATAGACTTTTGCCCCTAGTTGTTCTTTGAGCTGCAATATCTCTTCAAAGGACATAGTCTTAAGGTCCTCCCGAACAGCACTCTGATGTGAAAATAAAACTCGATTCAATTTGGTTTACAAATATGATATGCAAACTAAATTACCTGTACTTCATTGTCAGTAGTTGCATCGTGGTCAGATGCAGCGCTGGACTCGCTTGAAGATGACATTTGTTATTTCCAATATTAATAATTTAAGAATTGAATCAACCTTCACGTGTTTTGTTATTATTATGTTTATAGAGAGGAGGTTAATGCCATATAATTTATTATCGATAATAAAAAGCCTTATTTACTCTAATTTATCGATGCCTGAAATCTCAAATGCACTCTATCGATAGTCTCATTTGTTTGGTATCTGGCAGCGCTTTGCAAATGAGTTTTTCCTTTGGCGCCCAATTCCAGTTTTTGAAATCTTGTAAATAACGTATTTAGAGCAAGGAATCAACTTTCAACAGTTGGTCGCATGTTGTTTCACGTGCAAAAAAATATTGACCTAACTTTTGCTAAATCAACGTAAACATCAGTAAAATGCAGTGGGGCAATTTAATGACAGTCATAAGTTGGGTATTTGACTGGACATGCCCACGTTTTTGATGGCCAAGGTTCAGGATTCAGACACTCGCGACTTGTTTGTTTTACATTTGTAGCCAGTCAAGCTGAGGTGAAAGACAGTTAATGCTGTCAAAGCACTAAACGGTCATGTGACTACAGATACAGCTAGTGTGCGCTCGTGGTGCATGCCACGCGTGTGCTCAATTTCATTTAGCGAGTCATTGACAGGGTCGTATCTTGGCAAAACGGCGCCCAAAAGAAGTCTTCTGATGTACCTTCAATAAGTTCAATTTTATTTTTTTCAAAAATGTATTATATTATATTTTCAAAAATGCATTGGTAAAGTTGTTTTTGAAATGCTTAATTAGTTTTTGTCAATAACTTGCATTCAATGAGCTAATATAATAAAAGGTATCCCACTGCTATTATAAACGAGCACATTGCTTGGCCTTTCGGTTGAGGTTTCGGATTTAGCGGGCAAGAACCACGCGAACGCTGTCCATTCACCAATTACTCGTGTTTATGTATCACGCTGTTCGCTGCGTTGTCCTTAATTTCCTAAAAAGCGTTTAAACATCTAATGAAAGCATTTG